AGGAGGGGATAGAGGAGGCACAGGAAGACAGGAGGAGGTGAGGCAGGGTGCCTGTTTTATAATCGCCTCCTCGGATGGGCTCTGATGCTAGCCATGACTGACAATTTCCAGGAGCATTGTTCAGTAGCTTGATTTTTTTTCTATGGAGAAACCGTGAATTGAAAAGTACCAGTTGGGCTTGTCTGTCATTCCCATCCGATTTTCTTTTTCTTTGCTTCCATATTAGGCATAAGGCTGCTTGTTCAGTTCCATATTTCTTTACCTTTCTGGAGATAACACATTGTGTTAGAACCATTTCTAACCGGGGTGGATGCTAAAATGGTGTTCAGATGGCAAAGTTGGGCTTAACAATTCAGTGAGATTTAATAACAGGCAATTTATGTCAATTTCCAGATAACACAAGTCAGTTCCAATATATCCCTTAAGAGGCTTGCAGAGCTCCACGGCATTTGGTGTCAAAAGCATTTCCCACAGCCGTGGTGAGGCTGTGAAGGAATTTTGGGGCTGAGGCGTCATGGCCACTGCCTCCTAGCACTTCAGCTTGCATTCATTTCTGCTCCTATAGCCCTCTTTTCCGTCCGAGCATGATGGAAAAGCTCAGTAGAGGACTAATTCATTATTAGAGATGAGGGATGCTGGTCCGTTCATCTTTCTTCCCTGCTAATCCTCAGGGATCAAGGTCATACACTGTCATGCACTGTGCATTTGAAGGGTGAGACCCGGGGTGGGGGGTGGGGCGGTGGGGCTATTTCCACCCAAGCTCCACACTGGCAGCACAGTGCTCCTGTGGACAGAAAGCCTCCGATGTGCTCCCCTTGCAAATCCGTCTTTCCGATCTAACTCCTGGGGTATGTCTATTGCAGGTAGTCTGAAACAACCTTGATGTTCCTTCTCTGGTGCGGAAAGAGCAAGTACTTGCAGTGCGATGCATTTGCTCGGTAGAAGTAAGGTAGGGATTTTTCTTCGGGTCAGATGCCATATTACTGTATTCGCTTTTCCATTGTTTGCGTTTGAATCATTACCTTGATCTGTGACTCGCTCTTCTCCCGTTGACCTTCCTAGTCACTGCTGTTAAGCAAGGCCTGTTTTGATGCCTCTGGCCCTTACTCTGGATCAGAGGTCAAGGAAGGCCTGTGAAAACAAATCCCCAGACCCTCTCTCTGGGCCCTTTCTGCTACCCACTCTCGGCTAGGAATGGGGAACGGTTGTGGGGTTGGTTGGTTGGGCTCCCACAGCTGCTTAGGCCTTTACTCTGTGTCCCGTGTGGCCTCAGAACCTCCCACACACTCAGATAAACATCCAAGAACCAGTGTCAGAGCCCCACTGTTAACATAAAATTAAGACGGCCAAGAGCAAATGCAACTTTTCTCTTCAAAAAAGCATGAGCATGCATCTCTGCTAATAGATGCAAAGACCAATCTAGAAGAATAGAAGTCAAATTACGGACGTACTTCTATTTGAGAAGTGGTGACAAAGACACTCCCCTTGACCAAACTTTAGTCAGGCTCCTCCGAGCTCACCTAGGCCCTGTCCTTGGGCATGTCTTCCTAGAGCGCACTTCCTGCACAAATCCTGATGAGTAGGTTTAGTGAGATCCCTTACCCTTGATATCTGATCACCCTCGTTATCTGATCAGGTTCGTCATTCTCCACCGTCCCCTCGTGGCGCCTGGTCACCCTGGCCTGGCTTCAGCATGAATCCTGTTAGGTCAGTGAAGCTAGAGTTCCCGCTTACTCTGGTATTTCTTTTTAGTAATTGTCCACGGCCATGGCTGTAAACTCCCACTCTTCCCTGTGTTCAGAGTTGGGCCCAAGCTCTCTCCCCTACACCTCATTGCCGTGGTCCCTATGCCGATTGCAATGGTCCCGTACCGTCTGCCTAGTAAGGCAGATCTAGTAAGGCATGACCTTAACAAGTGTCGGGAGTAATTAGTTAGCAGTGGGGACATCTGTGATTTTCAGTCCCTAAATTATGTTTGCATATTACTGGCATATTATGTTTGCAGGTTTCACACAGACAACCGCTTTCTCGAGATACGTATGCCATAAAATTTAAGGTGCACCTCTGTAAGGTGTACAATAAATCTTAGTACTTTTATAGAGTTGTGCGACCCTCACCCCAGCCCCGGTGAAGACAATGCCCATCACCCCCCAAAGTTCCCTTGTTCTGCTCTGCGGGCGCCCTTTACTCCCATCTCCGTCTCCGGCCACCACGCGTCTGCTTTCTGAGTGGCTTTTCTGAAATCTCATTGAAATGGAATTAAGCACCATGTGGCCTTCTGTACCTGGCTTCTTTTGCTTGTTAATGTTTCTGAGGTTGATCCACGTGGCAGTGGGCATCAGCAGTCCATTCTCCGCGTTGCTGGATGGTACTCCGTTGCGTGGATGCGCCGCATTGCGTCCTCCACTTCTAGTCAGTGGACACGTGGGCCATTGACAGGTCTGGGCTGTTGTCAAGCATGATGCTATGAACATTCACGCACAAGTCTCCGTGTGCATAGAAGCGTCACTTTTATAATCAGAAACGAAGAAAAACGATGAAAGACCAACATGGATTCTCAAGCTGTTGCTGGAATGCATCCTCTTTTACCCAAAATGGGGAGCTCTACAGGTGGGGCCAAAGGTTTAAAACGAGGAGGAAAAGAAGTGGGTCCCTGAGAAAGGATTTGCCTGACCCTGGCCTGTGCATGGCCCCAGGGGGAGAAACAGGGACAGTGGTCCCATTCCTCTGGAAACTGATGGTATTCACACCATACCTCCCAAGCCTCTAAACACATGTGACATGTCACGTGTCCCCACTGCAGCTCTGTGTCAATCCCAACACAAACACACTCCCCCGTCTCAAAGTCCTTTGGTTCAAAAGCAGGAAATCAAGGCAACACCAGACCACGTGAATTTGTCGTGTTTAATAAACGTTCCCCAGGGTGGTTTGCTTTCGGAGTGGCTGCAGAGAAAGGCCCGAAACGCGGGTGCAGCCTAACTAGCTGGGTTGCTCAGATTCAGCAATTCAAGTGTTCAGGCTGGGTCCTTTCCCTGGTATGCAAAGGTCAAAAGTTGCGGCTCTGCGGGAAAGGCATCAGAAAAGCCAAGGAAGAGAGGATCCAGTTCTGTCGGCAGGAAAGAGAGGCAGAAGGAACAGAGGCGAACAGGAAGTTGGTAGGTACACAAGATGGGCACCTCGTTTACAGAGACGAGGCGGGGAGCAGACTGACAGCACACCGTTGGGGGATGTTTAGAACCAGTAGATACGACCTCAAAGCGCTATGGGTTGACTCGGTGGTGACGGGCACCACTGCTGACACCTACCTTATCTGTGGTCTCAGCAGGTTCTCTATGGAAGTTCTTCCAGCAACCCGAGTTCCTGTCTGTGTACGTAAGGGTCTGGGTGGCTTTGAACGGTCACCCACGGGGGCAGCTCTGCCTGCCTCTCTCCTTTGGAAACTCCCCTGGTCGCCCTACTGGCCCTGAATCCCGGTTTCTCTTTGCATTCTGCCCCGCAATGCCACTTTCTCCTTTCTTTTTTTAATGTTTATTTATCTTTGAAAGAGAGAGCCAGCCAGGGAGGGGCAGAGAGAGAGAGAGAGAGAGAGAGACAGAATCCGCAGCAGGCTCCAGCTGTCAGCACAGAGCCCGACGGGGGGCTCAAACCCACGAACCTTGAGATCATGACCTGAGCCGAAGTCGGACGCTCAACCTACTGAGCCACCCAGTACCCCCTTTTTCTCCTTTCCCTTCTACATTTATTTCTTTGGAAGGTTTGACTCATTCTGCTTTAATCTATCATTTCGAGGTGACTACACTCCTTTACTTCAACACTGACGCTTCTCCTACTTCAGCTACTGTAACAGTAATATTAATACCAGCAGGTATCAGCACTTGACAATATTCAAAGAGTTTCTGCTTGATCCTCACCAAGAATCAATCCTATGACGTGGGCGGGATAGCTGGCATTGATTCCTTTTTTGAAACAGAGGAAATCGAGGTGGGGAAGTTCAGAGACTGCCCAATATCACAGAGTCTCAACACGGTGGGACCAGGGGTGGGTTATAGGCCCCCGACCCTGGTGCGGTCCCAGGGCTGGGCACACAAGTGATAAAATTTAAAGCAAATGTGCTGGGGCGCCTGGGTGGCTCAGTCGGCTAAGCGTCCGACTTCAGCTCAGGTCACCATCTCGCAGTTCGTGGGTTCGAGCCCCGCGTCAGGCTCTGTGCTGACAGCTCAGAGCCTGGAGCCTGTTTCAGATTGTCTCCCTCTCTCTCTGACCCACCCCGTTCATGCTCTATATCTCTCCCTCTCAAAAATAAATAAAAGTTAAAAAAAAATAAATAAAGCAAATGTGCTGTTGACTGATCTGTTTGACAGAGACCGAAACAGGGGTCGGTGGGCAGGAAGGATGCGGTAACAACTCATGGCAGGTCTACAGAATTCATTTTATGAGTCCATGAGCCTGTGAGGAGAGTTTTCTCATTTTTAGGTTTTCTAAATGTCTATATATTCAATATTCCTTTTTTTAAAGCTTTTAAATTTTTTTAATGTATATATATTTTTGAGAGAGAGAAAGAGAGAGAGAGGATGGGGGGGGGGGCAGAGAGGGAGACACAGAATCTGAAGCAGGCTCCAGGCTCTGAGCTGTCAGCACAGAGCCCGATGCAGGGCTTGAACTCACAGACCGCGACATCATGACATGAGCCGAAGTCAGACACTTAACCGACTGAGCCACCCAGGCGCCTTGTATTCAATGTTCTTAAAAAGGCACTGAGATCCTCAGTATGAGATGCAGAGATCATTTTAGGGTAAAAAGCTTCTGTTGAATGATGATTTGCAAATATATGTCTATAATATAGTGCTCAGAACTAATATTATGGGTCAAATGTCTATTTAGTTATACAACCCTACATAAAATCTTGCCCTAAAGTTTTAGCAGTTAATATTTAACAGCCAAGTATTGATACTAGGTTGACATGAACAAACAACGTTTTGCAGAAAGGAACATGCTTGGGATTCGATGTGAATCAATTATTGTGTTTATTCCTGAAGCTTTTATTTTGGAGCCCTGTATCACAAAATGGCATGTTTAATGTTTACAACAGGTTTTAGAAATTTGAGATGTTTTTTTTTCATTTCTACCGTTTTTTAGAGTAAAATTGGAGATAATGTTCCAAACCATCATCAAAAAACGCAGAGCAAACTTTTCTGTATATAAACTGTACATAAAAACAAGGCACTATACATTTCAGGGAAGATATTAAGGTTGAAAGGTGGATTCGCACAGATTCTTTAGAGCCCGTGCCAGAAAGTACAAATGTCTCTGTTCATTTTAGCACCGGAAGCAGCACTCAGAACAAGTCAGACCTAAGGCCGAAGGAGACATTTCTGAACTGTGTGTGAAGATACAGAAGGGTGCCAGAGCTAATTCCACAGAAGCAATTCCATCTACCTTTTCATATTGTTTTGACACCAAAAGGAAAACAAATCTTAAAAGTGAATCGAATAATATTGCTTTGTTAAATACGTATTTGATTTATATGGTGTTTATATAAATATATATATTTTAGAATCCACAAACTATCAAAATAACACTTTATGAAGAGAATTGCTTCAAAAAAAAGAGTAGGCAACGCTCAGCTGGAACAGGAGGGCAGTGCGAGAGCAGCTGCTGAGAAACAGCTACTTAAGTGCACACGGGGACACCTTTATTAACATGACCTGCTGAGTCGTGGAAAGAGAGTTTCCAAAGGGTTCGCTGAAACATTTACAAAATACACAAATCCAGGACACGCAGTAGAGCTAGTAACTTCAGGTTTTAAAAACTCTGATGAAAAAAAAATTTTTTTTTTAAATACCAGTCCAAAAAAAAAAAAATTTGCCATTTTCCTGGTCCAAGGGTATCGAAAGTGACGGCAGATTCTTCTAGCCATCTCTCCCGCTCAGAACAGACCTTTTGCTTTCTTCAGGTTCACCTGCTTCCAGGCGGGCAGTGCGTTGTATTCTTCTCTGGTCATGTCTAGTGCAAACTGCAAAATTGGGGGAGACGCCCAGTAGGTGAGTGAGAGGACTCCCATCCAAGCCAATGTGTCGCTTAAACGCCATCCCACACGAAGAAATGCTTACCTCAAAGTCTTCGTCAGTGAGATAAATCTCAAGCTTCAGAGGATCAACTCCCTCGGGCAGTGGCCTGGCTAGCAGATCGGCCAGCGGATAAATGGTTTTACAAAGCTTGGCTAAGACATCTTCCACAAGGGTGATCTGATTCGAAACTTCCGTATCCTAGAGAAGAGGAGGGAGCAGAGAGAACTTCATGTCCTGCACCTGCACCAGTGTTTTGTCACGCGCCTGCAAATACATGACCCTGTCCTGTCTGTGCCCTCGCCGGACCCTGTCTAGTCTGTGCCTAGCCGGGGGGTGGGGGGGGGGTCACTCAAGGGGAAGCAGGCTCTGAAATGGAAAGGGATTGCCCAAAGCCCCACAATTCTCCTTTACATGTCTTCCCACCTCACCAAATAAATCCTGCCTTGGACAAAAGGGAGTATCACGTGAGTGAATTATGGCTTAAGATTATTAAATCTGGACTCTCGGGGCGCCTGGGTGGCTCAGTTGGTTAAGCGTCCGACTTCAGCTCAGGTCATGATCTCGCAGTCCGTGAGTTCAAGCCCCGCGTCAGGCTCTGTGCTGACTGCTCAGAGCCTGGAGCCTGTTTCGGATTCTGTGTCTCCCTCTCTCTCTGACCGTCCCCCATTCATGCTCTGTCTCAAAAATAAATAAACGTTAAAAAAAAATTTTTTTTAAATAAAAAAAAAGATTATTAAATCTGAACTCTAAACACTAGAAGCATTCAGATAATGGAATTTGTTTAAAAGTATTTTAAAATAACCTTATGAGGATTCATGCTGCCCCCTTGAGCCCTGTTTCTTAATCCATAATAGAAAAAGGTAAGAAAATGCGTCCAGGATATGCTGCTGAATCCAGACTTCAAACAAACAAACAAAAACCACTCTGTGTGCATTTACACTGAACTGGTTACTACAGGTAAATTCTCTTCCTCTGTTAAACCCGGAAGCCAGATCACTGCCCTCCTTTTGAGTGGCGGGAATGAATGACTAACAGGGTTGCCAAATTCATCAATGATGGTCGAGACTAGTGGTCACGGAGTGGGTTTGGAGCAATCCTGCACCTAAGACCCGGGACAAGCTACTTCAGGTGTCCGTGTCTCAGCTCCTTCCCTGGGAAAACGGAGATACACGAAGATGAATCTTAATAGACTGTTGTAAAAATAAGGGAGAAAATCTACATAAAGGGCTCGGAGCTGTGCCTGGCCCATGGTGAGCGCTCAGTGATTGTGTTATTGCCACAACTTGGCGTGGAAAGCCCGACCTCACTGGCCGGAAGCCCGCCAGCCTGCGCGAGATGCTCCCAGGCCACTGCTGCCTGGGCATGCACGGCGGAAGCAGGACACAGCGGTAATTACAGCCTTGAACTCACACTGCAGGAGGAGGTACGGGTGCGGGGCGCTGCACCCCCAGGCACGACTGCTTGTTTATTGTAAACAGAGCCCTATCGGGCTCCTCCCTGCGTGGACCAAGCCCACTGGCTTACAGAGAGATGTGAGTCTCGGCAGCGATGCTGGCATTAAACAGGCATTTGCGCTGCGCATCCACTGTTAAGCAGCAGCGAACTCTTTTTGTTTAAACGTGTTCGGACCTCCCGTAAAATACCCATGTCGTCTCCTCCGGAAAAGCAGCTCTCTGACATAGTAAGAAAATTGAAATGGAACAAACCTATTTCCTTCACAATGTTAAAAACTCATGACTTAAGAAATTCTACACAGCTGTAGTAAGCTTTTTTTTTTCCTATGTGGTTGGAAATTATAATGTTCTGGCTAATAATATGCTTTAGTAAATAAAGGTTATGATAAATGCTTCATGGGCTAATACCAACTGGTCTCATGAAATACTATTAATGAGCTATTCACACTCCTAATCAGGAGTGACTCACGATACATTCATTCGCTTCGTACTTTGATCTCTGAATAATCCATCACAGATTTATTTTGTGTCTCCTCAAACACAAGGTTAATGTCTGAAGCCAGAGGATTTTGTTGTGCCTTACACGGGCCTTGAAAAGCAACAGAGTTTTAGCAAACAGAATGAAGAGATGGCAGCTTTCTGTATATTCTTCAGAGTAATTAAGTTCACCTTTGCTTTTAAGTTGTTTAACTTGAACACCAGGTGTAGAAGAATACCAAAATAGTTCAAATGATTTTTCCATTTCCTAAGCTAATTCTATGTAGACTTGCTAACATGTTGTAAAAGAAAACAACAACAACAACAACAACAACATTTTATCACTTAGAAAATGCCATTGGGATGCTTCTTCCCAAGGTACAGTCGACTCACGATCTGAAAGGTGTGGAGCCACCTTCAGGGGGAAGCAAACCACACTCACCATTTCTGTGATTTCAGCAATGTCCTCTCTGTGCTCCCAGCTGGGGAACATATTGGTGAACGTCAGGGGCTCCAGACCAGCGTGGATAAGGTAAGACTTGGGGGGCGGCCTCTTGATATTTTTTCCTGTAGGTACACAGAGGGCAACATCAGGACACCCGGGGTATGGGTCCAAAGACCCGGTCTTTCTCTGATTTCCCTTGAAATCTTTTCTTCATTTGGATCTCCTGACTTATGGTTAGAGTGCAAGTTGTGAGTAGTTCATAATAACGCATGGATGGTATTTATACAAAATGTTAAGTTTATGCATATAAGGATGCGTAACACTGCGTGTAAGTGACCTGACTCTAGCAAAATGCTTCCACGTCTCTGGATCTGAGAGAGCCTCTCTCCATGGCTCCTGGGCAAGAGATTTTTTCCTCTTGCATTCACCTGTAGAAGTATTCCTCTGACTTCCTAAGGCAGCGTGAAGTTCAATGTGAGTTAAACAGCATTTTCTAAACCACTCTAATTTAAACATTTGGTGGGAATTTGTTACTTGTTACTGACGAGCTTTTCAAGAGAGAATCAACTGTATGAACTCAGTGAAACTAATCCATGAAACCTTAAAAATTAAGACAAGAAATTAATTACTGGCATCTTCGTTTTACATAAAATTCTATAAATTTTTGGCGGATGGTATAGTAAAAAGCCATGAGTTCACAGTAGATCTTTCTTTTTTAGATATCACACTAAAAATAATAACGAATGACCAAAAGGTTGCCATTGGCTTTCCAGCCCATTTAGGCGAGCTTTCCACTCTGGACAGTGGGCGGCTATGCGCAGAAGGAGGCCCCCAGCATGATTACACCAGAGTGCAAAAGGGTTCCGACCCCTCCAGGGCATTCCACAATACAGCCTTAAATCTTGAGGGTAGCAACTCAGACGGCCCAGTAATGTAAAAGAGAAAAATGAATTCCCATTCATGGTGACAGTCAAGAATGCATTAATCTCAAGATTAAGAAGCCTCAAAAAAAAAAACTTGGTTTCATCACTGCCTGCCGGGCTTTATCAAGGTTGGCCGGCACACGCAGGAAGGAAAACACTGGTCTGCGATCCTGCCGGGGTGGATGAAGCCTGTCGCAGAGCTGAGGGCCCCAGGCCTGCCCACTGGCACCGACGCCTCACCTTTGCAGTACTGGAGCACGGTCTCCATGGCACTCTTCCGGTCGGAGGCCCAGCGAATGCGGGCGGAACCCGTGATCTTGTTCTCGATGGGCCACCAGCCCTGCCAGAGGTACACCTCATGGTGATTGTCAACAAGGAAGAGTGCTGTGAGGGCAAGGGCAGACCAGACAATCAGGGGCTTCTCCGTGGATGCTTCCGGGGCACTCTTCCCCAAACCTAATGGATGCTTCCCTCCAGGCTGCTTTTGTCAGAGGGAGGGGGTGCAGAATCCCCTTGGCGGGGCCAAAGGCGGGGTGTCCACGATGGCTCAGCCCTTTGAGCATACAGTCAGTTAAGGCCTCTGGGCAGAAAGAGGTGGCCTCTGTGATGCCGGCCTCTTTTTCCTCCCTGTCCCCACACTCTCTCTCCCTTTGCCCCTCCTCAGTAGCCGGCCCGCCGGCGGCCCTTCCGAGAACTGGCAGCATGCCGAGGGGAGGGATAACGCACCCGCGAGGGGCTGTAGCAGCATTTCTCTCCAAAGAGCATATTAAAAACCGGCGAGTACACCCCCCCTTGCCCTACAGGTCACTGATGTGCGTGCCCCACATGTGATTGCTTCCTAGGTGACTAAGTTCCTGGTTCTCGGTGAGAGAATAGGGCTTGAAGGAGCAGACGCGTTCTAACACACCGTCAGCCCGACTCTTATTCCATGTGGCAGAGGGGCTCTCACACCTGCTCGGTCCGCCTGCCCCGCGCCCTTTCCTAGCCCGTGTTTCAGAATTCCACGCACACCACGCATCTGAAGAGCCCAGAAGAGGTTGATAACCCACCCTGAGGCATAGCGTGAAGAGGGTGGGTAGCGGCCTCCCTTTGAAGGAACTTGCTAGTATTTCCCGCAGTATGACCCGTGGGCCAGCTGTTGAGCTTTTAAGGCGGGGAGCTGGGCCGGGTGAATGAGAGGTTGTGGCTGAGGGGAGAGGGCACAAGGGCTCAGACTCGACTGCGGGAGTCTGGCCGGGTCCGTACAGCCCAGTCTCTGGTGACGGTGACTGTCCCAACCAGCACAAGGGCACACAACCGGTTCTGTCGCGAGGTGGGGGCCGAGTGGATACAGCCTTGACCTCGGAGTCAGAAGACATGGGTGGGAACCACAGCCCTGCCGTGCAGCCTTGGCTAAGGCAGACACCGTTCTTTGGCTGATTCAACAGATACTCCCAAGCCCTTGCCGCCCCGCCACTTGCTCTCCCCCAGGCTCTCCGGTAGTGGAGGGTGTTCACGCGACAGAGCTCTGGCCAACGGGATGTGAGCAGAAGTCAGCTGGGGGCTTCTGGGAAAGCTTTTGCTTTATCCAATACAAGGGAGAGACACGGCCATCACTGCCCTTTTCCCAACCCTTTCTTTGTGTCTCGAACGGAAAACACGATGCCCGGAGCAGGGGAGGCCGACTGTGGGCCATGAAGCCACAAGACTGAGGGGAGTCTGGGAGAAGAGCTGAGCTTCCAGGCCTGACACGGTTGTGCTCAGCCTACCTGGGCCTCGGTTGCCTAGACTGTAACATACGGCTGATGTTCCCTTCCTTTTGGGGTAGGTGTGAGCATGAGATAACATAAGAAAGTTACCCGCCAGGGCACTTGGCAAATAAAAACCGTTTAGTCAATATGCAAGTAAAGTAAAAAGGCCGTCTGGAAGGTGTGTGTTCTGTGGCTCGGCACGATGACCCCTTCCGCGGGCCGTACCTGGCTGTGGCGCGCTGTACAGATCTTCCTGCAGGAAGGGCATAGAATTGACCACAGAGGGGTCTCGGGCAGGATACATGAATTCTGTGGCTGAGAAGTCACCAGAGGAACTGCTGAGGATGAACAGGCGGGGTGTGAAGTTAAAATTTCCAGGATCTTTGAAAGAAAAGAGAACAGAGCTGAGGACACGATATGCATCAAAGGAAATTCCCAGCTGGACGGGAGAGCGACCGTAAGACATGAAATAACCCCAAAACTTCGTGCGAAAATAGAGAAAATTTATCTGACCTCGGAGGTAGGGAAGGTCTCCTTAATCATAATTATAAAAGGAGGAATGAAGGGACAGGGGATTTCTGCACTGACAGCACAAAAATGAACCCTTGCATTGCAAAAAAGCCCCAACCCAAACAAAAAGGCAAGTGACAAAATGAGAAATGTGGAAACTGGTTCGTGCCCTTGGTATATAAAAGAATAAAGATAAACATCTCGGTAAAAATGTACAAAAAGGCAGAAATGAAAACATTCACCAAAGTAGAAATACAAATAATTAAAAAAAATAGGGGCGCCTGGGTGACGCAGTCGGTTAAGCGTCCGACTTCAGCCAGGTCACGATCTCGCGGTCCGGGAGTTCGAGCCCCGCGTCGGGCTCTGGGCTGATGGCTCGGAGCCTGGAGCCTGTTTCCGATTCTGTGTCTCCCTCTCTCTCTGCCCCTCCCCCGTTCATGCTCTGTCTCTGTCCCAAAAATAAAAAAATAAAAAAATAAAAAAAAAAGGTTGAAATAAAAAATACATAAGCATTTAACAGTACTTCCAATTTAAACCATTAGTTAAAATAGTGCTTAGGTAGCAGTCTCCCCCCACCCCCCATTTTGGCAAAGAGGAAAAGGCAAAGTCCACGGGGGAATGCACACTCTCTGATGTATATTGCCAGGTGAATATGGAGATTGGTGTCCGTGTTCGGGGGCACCCTTGTTGAGCTGTACCCTGAATCTTTTCTACCTTTACCACAGCACTTCTGTATCTAGGAATTTAACTAGAAGCAAATACACGTACTTGGTTTAAATTTATTCACATCTCTATTGTGTAATAGGGAAAAATCGGAAACCTCTCTCCAACCAAAAGAGACAGGTTAAATAGAAAATGGCATATAGCATATTCATGGAATGCCCTGCGGCCAGAGAAGTCTAGATATTAACAACTTGAGCAACTGTTCATAATAAAGGGAAAAATCGGGTTACAAAACTGTGTACTGCTGTCCAAAATTTCCTTTAATATAGATGTGTATGGATCCCATAGAGAAATGTTAATTCTAGTTATCTTTGAGAGAGAAGATCATAAGGGACTTAGTTTCTTTTTCAACCTCTCTGTACTTTCAAACATTTTCCATCACCAATATGCATTATTAAGAAAAACTCTGTAAAAGTTCAGGAAAACTGAGATGAGTATACCCCACTGTGGTCCAACCTTGGGCAAGCTGATGAAGTTCGCTGTGCCTCAGTTTCCTCATCAGAACAAACACGGTGGCGTTAGGTGGTGAGCGTTAAGGCAGATAGGTGCTTAGGCGGTGTCTGTCTCATCCTAACCTGCCTAATACTTGTTAGCTTTCCCTCTGTGTTAATCTGTACGTTAAGTTGATCTGTGTTTTGTGTATTTAATACAAAACCGACCTATTCTCTAATCTGAACTCTGTTAGGTCCCTGCACCCAGGATGCTGGCCAGACCGAAAGCGTCTCGTGCCATAGGGTCACGTTGTGTCACTGTCCCTCTGGTTTCCTGGAATTCGCTTCTCTCCCTCCGTCTCTTCAGGTCATGCTTCCCTCTGAGGCTCTGTGTAAATGTCGTGTGATTTTCCTGGTGGAACTACTCTTTCTTTTAACTCTCAGCCTCCTTCATTCGTACCTCTTTCGTGACACACCAAAGTTTGATTTGGCATTATGCTTAGCTGTGCATATTATTTAGCTTCCTTACTGCGTTGTAGGCCTGGGAGGACCTAGCCTAGGTGTGATTCACTGGGTGTTGTGCATAGTATGTGCTCAGTAAATATGTACTGACTAGATTAGTGATGGAAAGCTACGGAATGTTGGATTACCTTGAAGCATGCAGTCGTAGGCTTTCCTGTCTCTCCTTCCTAAAGCGTCCCAGAATCCCAGGGGCTCCGATCCTTCATCGCACTCATGTATTGTCACTTTACTGCTACTATGCAGCCCGGCTTCCAGGGGACATCTGCACGGAGAAAATCCAGTAGTTTGTTTGTTTGTTTGTTTGTTTGTTTGTTTGTTTTAAGCCTGGAAGTGTTGGCAGTATGGAATTATTCAAGACTAAATCTGCAGATCAGTTCACCATCTCTCTTCTTCCTAAAATAATTCTTACTAATGAATTAAAACATGCTCCGTGGTTAATGAATGTGTGTGTGTGTGGGGGGGGGGGGGGGCAGCAGTGAGAGGGACTGGCTTGGCCCTTAGAGAAGAATGTATAATTACATACAAGTTGCAACGAAAGTGATCACGTTTTTATATACAACATACATATTAACTATTCCTTGTCCTCTCTTGCTAGAACATAAGCGTCATGGGGACGGAGACTTAGGTTAGTTCACTTGCAAGACCCTGGTCCCTAAATCTGTGCTTGGCACCAAGTACGTGATCAGTGAATACCTGCAGAGCGAATGAGTTCATCGTTCTGTTTTTTCCCAGTGGTCCAAGGGGAAAATCCAGTGGGCCAGTGATGCCTTTGGATACCTCGCCGAAGGTCAACTATCACCCCTCCCCACTCGCTGGCACACAGAACAGCGTTTCGAGATGAGACATTTTGCTTCCCGGCCGTCTGCCTGTTGACAGGGCACTGGCCTGCGTTCTCTCCGCCCTCTCCTCGGTGCGGTAGGTTCGAGAGCCATCCCAGGGGAAGGATGCCCGCCCCGCACTGCTGTGGTGCCCAGAGAACGGATTTGACCAGATTACCCTTTGGTGGCATGCTGTGGCCCTGGAAACGCTTCGCTTCTACTGTTCACATGTTACCAGTGTCCTCCCAGGTGACAGCCTGAGGAAATGCCAGGCATCCCCTGCCTAGCTGGCGGTCCAGCGACTCAGGGGCAAATGCAGGCATACGGTTGTCCTCTGGAAAGGGGACATCTTATAGTCTGACACAGTTGGTGGTCTCCCATACTTTTCTTTAGCTAAACGCTTCCTAACTTTCCACTGCTCTGGCAAAACTGAAATGTTGAACCCCTAAACGATATTTGAAATTTGCTCTCTTTAAATACCAAAGGCCTCCAGGCTTTTAATTCAAAATCATACCCATGAAAGAAATGATGGCACTCGTTGGGGGCACTTCCCTCACTCCTCCCTCACTCTGCCTTTCGTCGAGGCAGGTACATCCTCAGAAGGTGGGGGAAGCCCTCACGCGGGCAGCTTGAAGCGAGATGTGTGTCACGGCCACTTGGCATGTCAGAGGCCCCGAACCACGTTCATACCCACCCCCTGCTGAAGTCACTTGAAGTACACCCGGGCTTCTACTGGCGACCCTGGGTATCCTTCCCGCCTCACGGGGAAGCCCCTTCTGGGAGATGCCCTCACACACAACACTCACTGTTCTTTGATTTTATTTGCTGCGGTCCTTCCGACCTCCTTCGTGTGGGCTTGGGCTTTGCATCCGTGCCACAAGTAAATGAGGGCTTTATTTACGTTGAGGACAACCATGGAAGTCCTGGACCTCAAGCTACTACAGTGACAGGCCACTTCCAGCAAATTCCCTTCCACAGGCACTTCTCCGCGCACACAGTACAGCCTCCACTCACCTGCAGGGGGCAGCAGCGGCACAGAGTTAGGACGTGGTGTGCCGCGGGGACCCGCCAACACCACCCACCCTGGGCCCACCCAGGCCCATCCTGTGACTTGGGGGTGGGGGTGGGGGGCTCAGGCGGAGTGGCGGCCAGCTCGCTGCCAGCCCAGAAAGCACATCCTTTTGGAGTTAGAATCAGGTTCGTGAAGTAGAAAACCCATTTTTGTAAATACTCAGGTATTTACAAATACTTACAAATACTGAGTATCTTATAAATACTCAGGTAAATCACATAACGGGCATATTTTGAGAGGCTCTGAAGCTAAGAATTCTTTTTATTTTATTTTTTTTATAAATCTATTCTATAAATTAAGAGATTTTTGTTGGCCAGCATCCCATTTATAATAGATGACCCACTGAATTTTTCTCCCCTCTTGAGAAGAGAGACAGAGTCACTGTGGGAATTCAGTTTAAGGGAAAATAATCTCCCAGCCTCCTGCATACAGAGTCCTATGTATCCTAAGGTAAACGCCACAGGAAGGTGGTGGGGGGGTGGCTATGAGCTCCCCATAAGGCTGATTTGTAAGGCAAACGTGACGAGGCTTTCAGGGGTGAAGACACAGCTATATAAAGGGAGACTTACTTTAATACCCCCCCCCCACCCCCAGTGTGAAAACACCTTCTAGGAGAGGGAAACGAATCTTATTCCAACGGTGACAGTGACTTACTTTGTGCGTTCTCTTCCTCCTCTTCCCGCCTCCCGGAGTGTACTACCATTCCCCCCTGGAAACACTGCAGAAAGCAGGGGGGCTCCTTTCCCTGCAGGACCTGGACCTTTCAATGGAAACACATTCCAGTAAGTAACACGTACTGGTTTTCAAAGTCTTAAAAAGAATACCTGCCTAGTAGAAACTCTGAAAAACAGCGAGAAGTGCCCACAAACACCAGTGACACTACTGTTGTGTCTAAAGATAACCACTGTGAAAGGTCTAGGGTACAGCTTTCCTTTCAAAGTATCTTTCAGGTATGTGTCTTTCCCAGACAAAAGTAGGATTGTTGTCCTTTGTTACTTAATACCCGGTTTTATTCACTTGATGTTTTGCCGTCAAAGACTTTGGAAACACAAGTTTTGATATTTTAGTGGTATTCCGTGGTATAGACGTAGCATGATTGATCTAAACAAGTTTGAAACAAAGTCTACCTCTCAGCGGTGAGAACGACTGATCACTTAGTGACTCAGGGGCAGGGGCGGGGGCGGGAGGGGAGAACTGTCTCTTTTGCAACCGTTCCAATAGTCCACTCATGGAACACTGCTCCTGCGGACCAGCCTCCCCTTCGCCTGGGAAGCACTGCGTTAGCTGCTCATAAAACTGGTAGGGTTGACCCCACTCACTCTCACTTTGGCTAGACATTTTCCCTTCACGAGGAAATTGTTTATTCAGCCTGGAAATCGGGGCAAACCGAAAGGTAGGAAGCATTTCTCACCAGGAGTTAACAGATCAACCTCAGGGCCAACTTTGCGTAATTTAGCGCCATTTTGTGGCAGCGTTTTATATGTCTGAAGTGTTTTTACATCCACTGGCTTGATAAAAGGTGGAATGCTCAGACTAGAGAGATTAAGACTCAAAATTCTCAGGGTGATTTTGCAGCCACGATGGAAACATGGCCTTTACAAAAATAAAGGCAGTTGAAATTGCCCACTATTAGGGATAAATTAAAATGCAATGGCCACTAACAGTTATTTTCAATTATTGTATAGTCTATAGTAGAAAATGCGTATGAAGTATTTTTTTAGGGAACAGGATTGGTTCTTAGGAATCTAGAAGGCTAGGTGAACATTAATCTGTTTCGGAGAAAATTCCTCTGTTCTCCTCCCTCATGCTATTGTTAACTACTCCTCCAAGGTAGTGAAGATACCTGCCGTGGTATCATGCTTTCCCAAAACCTTACAGTCAACTCTTCATTACTACAAAGGTAATCCAAACAGCAAAAAGAAATGTTCACAACATCTTGGCCCCAGGGCATTATACAGGCCCTGGGGTTATAATGGCGGATAAAGACCAGCACACAAGGTCTCTTTCATACTTTCTAGGGAAAGAGGGATAACAAGTAAGTAAACGCAATGTCTACAAAATGTAAATGAAATGACAAATGACTACGAAGTGGTTTTAAGTAGTGATAATAGCAGTAAGTGCTAGAAAAAAAAATAAATAAAGCTCAGCAGAGGGGCGGAGAATGGGGAGGGATTTGGATAAAACAGGTGACACTGGAACAGAAACCTGAATCCTATGGAGTTGAAAGTTACTTATGGATACAGGGGAAATGTTCCAGACAGGAAATTGCACAAAGGCCCTGGGGTGGGAGGAAAGAGGTCTGTGTGTCTCAGGAGTGGCAAAAGGCTAGAAAGCCAGGGGGAGGTGGGAGAGGTGTTCAGGGCCAACCACGAAGGTGCTGGCAGATCACCGGGACACCGGTTTGGAGAGCAAGGGAATGACACGGTCCGACGTGTTCCCGAAAAATCACTCGGGCTGCTGGGAGGAATGCAGATGAGAAAACAGATAAGAATACTCATTTTTACATTAATCTCTGGTATTTCCTTCGGACAGATTTGTGTAGGTGGAATAACTGATCAAAGTTTATGAGAATTTTAAGGTTCTTGAGCCAAACTGCTTTTCAGGATGGCTGTTTCAAGCTACACTCCCCAGTGGAGGCATCCTACTGAATCCTTACCCACCCTGGAGCCGTTCTTTACAAAATCCCTACCAATTTTAGAAGTGGAAAACAGCATCTCTTGGTTTTATTTATAACTCCTTGAATATCAGTTAAGTGGAAACTTCAAAAAACCAAACCCTCCCTTGGCGCTTGGTACCTGTCTTATGGATTCGCTATTTACAGATACAACATCTCCTTGAAGAGCATATGACTCCTGACCTGCCAGTGGGGAGAGGAGAGGGGAGGCCCAGCCTGCAGTCTGGAGAAGCCAGACCAGAACTAAAAGTCACTTGTGCGATGCCGTCTTTGTTCACGAGAAGTCAGGGGTCTTCAGGGGACCGGGGCCGCACACCCTGCGGCTCCCCAGGAAGGACGGTTCTCTCATTCAGCTGCTTTCCAGCACTCACCTGGGCGCCCCTCTCCTCGTCCAGCTCCACCGTCATCAGCGCCGACGTGCCCTTCTCGCTCACGGTCGACTGCCGACCTTGCCAGAAGAAGTAGACACACTTCTCTTTGCCAGCCACCCTCGCTGAATGCTCTCCCTTTTGTCGACTTCCCACTGCAAACACAAAGAACCCGAGAGGGCAGGGTAAACAGCCGATAGGCCAAAAGAGGAGCGAATGTATGGCTTTCTTCTCCGGGCTCTGTGAGGACAAAGAGGGAAGACAAAAAGCTTTGGGGCATGGGGCTGAGGAGAAAAACCACCTTTCTTCCAGTAACTGATCCTGAGCCTCCAAACTGGCGAAAAATGATCTAGCCTTCTCGATGCCCTAGGAAAAACACCTGTCATCCTCCAGGAAGGCGGCGGATCACTCCAAGTGTGTGACAGAGAAAGCGGGTGACGGCCAGAGCAGGACCAACGGCTCCCAAAGACAGAAATACATTTTCTGTCTTACGCCATTTTTTTTGGCAGAAGATTAGCTGGTAGAGAAAAGATAGTGAAAGCAACAGCTGGGCTAGCTTTAAGTACAAAGGGAAAATTTAGCCTGCTAAAACGATTCTAGTGAAAACACACTCTGGAGTTTCCACATTCTGTCAGAAATGGAACAGATCTATTGCTGACATACCGCTTTCATAAAATAATCTGGGATTTCAATACTATCTGTCGCTGGGTCCGTAGCCAGGGTTCAGTGCTGGTTGTCCTTACTGCCTGGCACCTCACAGGCATTTGCATTAGCAGCACCCGGCTCACAGGTCTCACCCAAGAGCAGGCACGGGAAGCTAATTGGCCAAGTGGCCATTTTGAAAAGGCAGTATTTCAGACCTCAGCTCGCTGCTTTTCGGTATATACCGCACTCCGGTCTCCTCTCGTTCATTCAACAACCGCTCACTGAGCACCCACAGTGTGCCCGGGACCTCCTGGGGATACCAGAGCTATAATGAGAAGACGGCCCCCCTGCTTTCATCCTAACAGACATGAGCAAGACAGTTTCAGACGGTTGATAAGTGCTCTGAGGATGACAGACGGGGCTGTGACATGGGGCAGGGTGAGTGCTAATAGGATTCCCTGTTGAAGGAAGGCCTCTCCGAGGAGGTGACAATGACAAGGTGACAGGGACTTGCAGGCAGACCCTTCTGGAACGAATGAGGTCAGGAGACTGAGCTGTTACCCTCAGATGCCTGCCTGGGTGGTCCCAGAAAGTGATGGGCAACAGTGGGAGAACGCAGGTTATAACACCCACGCTTGTTGAAAATTAAAGATAATAACTAGGTTCTCTGGTTCTCTGTGAACCCAGTTTTTCCCAGCGGCAGTCCCATTTACAAAATCACAGTTATCTTGAGGTTTGAAGGTAAGAAGAAAGCTCATTTATTTTAAGTTCTCAAGAGGCCAGGGTCATATTTATTTGATTTTTTGGCCTTTTAGCAAAGTACTGTATATATAGTTTCCATAAATGATCATAATTATTCTTGACAGTGCTTTGCTTAAGCACAACATTTAGTGCCATCTTTTGTGGACCTGAACTGGTCAAGTTGGTGTATCTTTTATTAAATGTTCATTTTGAGACAGAGAGAGAGAGAGAGAGAGAGAGAGAGCGCGTGTGAGTGAGTGCGAGAGAGCCCGGGCGCACGCATCGAGGAGGGGGAGGGGCAGAGAAAGAGGTTGAGAGTTGGATGCTTAAGGGACTGAGCCACCCAGGCACTTCAAGTTTGTGTATTTTTTTTTTTTTAATTTTTTTTTTCAACGTTTATTTATTTTTGGGACAGAGAGAGACAGAGCATGAACGGGGGAGGGGCAGAGAGAGAGGGAGACACAGAATCGGAAACAGGCTCCAGGCTCCGAGCCATCGGCCCAGAGCCCGACGCGGGCTCGAACTCCCGGACCGCGAGATCGTGACCTGGCTGAAGTCGGACGCTTAACCGACTGCGCCACCCAGGCGCCCCAAGTTTGTGTATTTTTAATGGATAGGCTATGCATATTCACAATTAGTTTGGAAGCCACTCCATTGAAATTTCTGCTAATTTAGATAGAACAAAAGTTTGTCTTTGATTAGCAATCCCACTCTTCAAAGTAGTGAAAATTAGTCATGTCAGCTGGGGAAAGATGTGCTTAAAACAGGTCACAGAAGTTGATATATATCTTGAAATCTGTTAGCACTTAAGTACATTGTATAAATATATATTCAGGCTTAAATAACCAGTGTTTTACCATCTAACATTCTAATGTGGACTTCGGTATATATATCTAAAATAGAAGTATTTCCTTAAAATATCTCATAATAGTTTTCAGCAATTTTCTTCAGTATGCACAAATTTATTACTATATACAACTTAATTTTTAGTTCATCTATTTTATAATTTTTTCATCAGTAAGAATTTACGGACTGTGACCTTTATTTCACTTTTTATATTTTTTTAATGTTTATTTATTTTTGAGAGACAGGGAGACTGAGCACAAGTGGGGGGGGGGGCGGGGCAGAGAGAGAGAGAAGACACAGAATCCGAAGCAGGCTCCAGGCTCTGAGCTGTCAGCACAGAGCCCAAAGTGGGGCTCAACATGAACCAATGAGATCATGACCTGAGCCAAAGTCTGACGCTTTACCCACTGAGCCACCCAGGCGCCCCCCGACTGTAACCTTAAATAGCCTTGATCAGATGGCTAATTTAAAGTGTTGATGGGGGTGCCTGGGTGGCTCAGTCGGTTGACTGTCTGACTCTTCAGTTTGGCTCAGGTCATGATCTCACAGCCGTGAGATTGAGCCCCATGTCGGGCTCTGTGCTGACAGGGCAGAACCTGTTTTGGATTCTCTCTCTCTCCCTCTCTCTTTCTCTGCCCCCACGCACCCTCCCATCAAAATAAATAAGTAAACTTAAAAAAAATTAAGTGTTCATGCATTATGTCTAAAAATACTTTGAAGAGGACGTTTGTGACCAGTCGTCGTGTTTAGGAGTAACCGGGAACCACGGTTTGAAGAACTGCTCAGGGTCAAGCGGTCCTGCTGCAGAACCCCATTTACTGCCCACTGCGGCCTCCGGTCTCCCTTCCCTGGAACCCCGGTTCGCTTCTCCAGGAGCTTCTCTGTGCACCTGTGCACCTGGCTAGTATCCACCAAGAGGACGGCTGTACTGTTTCTACAGCTGCTGGTGTCTGCTGACCTTGTCCCAGAAGAGCTTCCCGAGCTCCAAGTTCTATGTCCTGTTTGCACGTGCAGCTGTGGAGCAGGAGTGATGAGGAGCTAGACTGTGGTCACCGAGGGGCCACTGTTAATGCCATGGTGCTATGCTTCTCTGCTCCCAGAGGGACCGTCTGGAATCGGAATGCTCCCTGCTCTGACTTAATGCTCTGCAGCTGGACTCCTTCAAAGCTGTAACTTTGCTCATAACGATGCTGCTGGAGCTGGCTGCGAGATGTGCCCTGTGTTTACTGGAAGAAACACAGAAAGTACTTTCCTAGGCCAAATCATTACTTCTTAGGCGGCCTCCAGCAGAGTAGTCTATGAAGGCCTCAGAAATCTGATTACTTTTTTTTTAACTAATTCATGTCGATATCGTTTTATTCATTTATTTCCTATTACTTCTTTTTATAACTAACAGCTCAGGTAGGGAGATGAGTGAATTTCAAATTCTATTGCCCCTTTGTCTTGTTTTGTAAAACATGCAGTTTCCTCTCTGTATTTAAGGAAGGGGAGCTATGTATGCTTTCAAAGCTGGTCCTTAACGTTCCCTGCTGCACAACACCGGAGGTTAGTGGATTCCCACCCGCCAAATCCCCTCTTACTGCCTTTCTTGCCAACACGCGGCACGGATGGTTACTGCAGCTGGACAACTGCACCACCCCAAGGAGCAGAGACTCGCAATAGCGACTCTTTGGGAAGGACGCTTATTTTGGGGAGACTCATGTTATCTCATCTTCAAGGTAAATACAGCAATTTTGCTTTCGGGGCTGAGGGCATCAGTGACGATTATTTCCCGTACCTTGTGAGCATGTGCCAGGCCCTGTGCTAAATTGGACACCTACCAGATTATAATAATCTCTGAGCGGGGCATCATCATCAGACCGAGGCTCAGACAGGTTACGTCCCTTCACCCACTTTGCATGGCTGGTACGTAGGGCCTGAGAGAAGATTCAGACCCAGGCTGCACAGTCCCCGGGCCTGTGCCCTTTCCCCCTAGCCACATGGCCTCCTTATGAAAGGGAAAGGGGCTTTCAGTGTCCTAATCTGGTCTCTCCTAGCTGGGTGACTTCAGACAGGTAACAACTGTGGTGTCCTATTCCTCACTGAGAAATTGGCATCATGACGTAATGTGTCCCAGAGCCACTGGGAGGCACTCAACTCGAGGTTGCAGCAAAACCCCCAGTGCTGTGCCTCCTGGGCTGTGTGGACCTCCGGGCCCGCAGCACCCCGGACAGCTCTGGGCAAGACTGCCTCCTGCCCTGCCCAGCGATGCCCCACACTGGCTGCCCACAGGGCGGTGTGCTGGGCTTCCCCCAAAGCAGCAGGGTCAATCTCAGAGACCCCGGCTCTCCTCCGGAATGACGGGCTTGCCTCTTCCCGCACTTGCCTTATTGTCATTTATTATGTGCTTTCGGAAGGTAGGGTCTGACATATTTACTTAGCCCCTAACGTAAGTGTCTGTATGTAGAGTAGGTGCTCCAGTAAATGCTGCCGGGTGATTAACAGACTTATTTCTGATACATTAGGAAGGAAATCATATGGTTCTCAGTCTGCGGGTATCTGATGAGCAGACAGCAGCCTTCATCCCCTGGAGCTCCAGGGCAGCCACACCCTGGCAGCAAAGCGGCTTTCAAGGGGTAAAGAAACGCTCAGGAGTTGAACGTCAAAATCACAGCATTGTGACAAATCCTCCCAAATGGTGGGGCGGAGGGACCCTGCAGAGGACTGGCTCCTTGTTGGCAAGGAGAAGGGGTTCTCTCTCCAAAGCACACTGGCTTTCCTCCCTCACCCCCTCTAGCACAGAGCCCGTTTCGCTGAGCATTTCACCGACAGGAACCACGCGCAGTTTCGACTGTGTATTTATTCTACCAGATCCACAAAGCCTGTTCGTGCTCTCAGCCTCAGAGGAAACAGCTTCTTTTATTTTTAATAAATCTTTTGTGCATAACTACACCATTTGGTTCCAGTTCGAAATCATCCAGATATACTTTACTTCAGACTTTAATTTAAGCAGCAGACAGCCACATGGTAAGTATCATTTGGAGGCAAATCATCACTTTCCTAGAAAACGTCTGGGGACGGGGAGGGGGCGGGAACGAGGGTAGCAGAGAAACCGTAACGTGCATGTTTAATTTCTATAAGGAAACACAACCTTCCTTAGCAATGCTAGGGCGTCGGGATCCGTCTATAAAGTTTACTAAGGGGTTCTCCAAGCGAACGGTCAGATCGGCACATTCTCTGCGGCCGAAGGCAGGGGCGCACACAGGGAATGGCTTCTAGCGGTGCTAGACTCGCAGCCGCAGAGCTGGGGCCGCCCCGTGTCAGTGTGAAGAAGACAGAAGTGCTCACTGACCTGCGGTGCTCACCATGTACTTCCACTTGACCACATAGGCATCTCCCTCGTGGAACTGCCCGATGCTCTGTTTGGGGAGCCGGCTGTAGTCAAACTCTAGGATGTGCCACACATCCACAGAGACACTGGCGATCTCAAACTGCCTCCTGTCGTCCCCTTCTACCAGGCCATAGCCACGGCCAATGTTCACCCCGTCCAGCACCGTGCTGGTGGTGGTCTGGGGCACCTGCACCATGCGCGCGACGTCGTACGGCTTGGCTTCGGCCCGAGGATCTTCCTATGGGGGAAGGTAACAAGGCTGGCTTGGTGGCCTGTTTCTACAGCCGTTTCCTGCCACACTCACTGCTGTTTCACTGGTAGACTTTCCAGCTCTGTCTCAGCGTTTAACTGCGTTTTGGGGAAAGACTGTGGAGGCCTGAATACCCATCCCACAGCAGTGAACGGGACACCTAAAAGCTGGGGACACAAACTGGACTACTTCACCTCCTGGAGGTAGAATATAATTGGAAACCCGTTTGCTGATCTCCCAGTAAACCCTGGGAAGGCTTTACCTTCGAGGCCTCTTTTGTTGGGACCTAAACCAAAGGCCTGAGGTTTGAGACTAGATTACCAGAAATACCTTTTGCTGGGCAAGTTCGCTGGCGTTCTTCTCATTAGGTCTCTTCAGTTCAGTCCAATCGAGAAATTTCTCTTTGAACAAAATGGTTTCATTGTGTTCTGTAAGTCTCCCGAATATTGCCCAGTCGGGCCGCCCCTGTCCTTTTCTGCGAAGGTGGGTGGGTGGGGGAGTAGACAGGAGAAGAACCAAAGTTAAGCCATGGGAAAACAAAGGAAAGGAATGGAAAACACACACACGTGGCTAGTGAACACAACTCATGATACATTAGTGGTATACAGAACGCATGGTCTGTTTTGTCAGATAAGTGACATTTCAGTCTTTCGGTCTGCAGCCTCGCAGGGAATCGATGCTCCTGAACGTGGGGTGAATCGTGTCAGGTCTGGACTTTCCTTTCATACTAGCAGATTCTTGCGTTTGGGATCCCCTGGGGGCAGCACACCAGACTGGGAGCTGGGAAAAGGCAGGAGCCACACACGTGCCTTCCTTGCCTATGTCATGTGCTCACGGTCGCCTGCAAGGGCTCCCCAATTTTCTGTCTCATTAGCGAATGGATGGGAGGAAGGCGCAGCTCACCCTGAATTCTCTGTTAAGTCCTCTTACAACGAAGCTCTCCGGTCTCCGGGAGCAGAGGAAATTCTCCTCCGTTACTACAATGAGCATACTTTCATAGAGCATAGAGTGAATTTCCACATATTTATTTCTAGGCCACCAGACACGACAGCAGGAAGGGAGAGCACGAGGACACAGAACAGGAAGTGGCACAGCCCAACCTGGTACGTAGCCTCCTGCTACGGCCTCAGGATTTCAGAATTTGAAACTGCTTGGAACGCTGATCAGGCAGAGGAAGGCAGGATTGAGGAAATAAATACATGCTGAAGCGGGTTCGCGCAGGTATCGCCCATCCTTCCAAAACGCTCTTTGGCTGCGAACGGAGACCGGGCTGCGTACACCCCGCGAGCCTGATGAGCGGTGCTTCTGGGGCCTGCTGCCGCCCCTGCCCAGCACTTCCTGTCTCGTCACGACTATGGCTTCTGAAGTCACCCCCACGGCACATCAAGGAGAGTGCCCGTTCGGAGGGAGACCGCCCGGGGGAGGCCACGGCATTCTAACACCCCCACCTCGTACTCTCCCGGGACTCTAGGAACCAAGTATCGGCAACTAAGGAGGATTCAGGACTCCCTTGCAAGGCTGTGGCCTTTAACAGCAAATGTCTGAATGACCATCTTTGGTATGGAGTCCACTCTGCAGACTTGCTAGGATGTCTATAGACAGCACTTGCTTTCAGCTTTAGACATGGATTCTTTCTGGTGGGAGTTGAGCAAGCAGGGGAGGCGGTGGGTTGCAGGGTACGGGGGAAGCTGAGAGCTCCAGGGGGTGAGCTTCTTCCTGCCTCTTCCTCTGCTAAGGAAGGGCTGGGTGCTTAATCTTGGCTGTGCCTTACAACCCTTGAGGAGCTCTTAAGACCTACTGACATACAAGCCCCACCCCACGTGAACTGAGAACACATCTTTGGGGCTGGGCCTGGCACGTACATTTTTGTAAAGCTCCTTGGGCGATTCTGATCTGGGACATGTTGAAAACCAGTGGGTTAGGCGCTGACTCATCTACTCCCACATCTGTGATTATCTCACTGCTATATATGTTATCTATCATATGGATTTTGTGCTTTGGCGTTATTGTTTCTTTTAGTACATCAAATAAAATACTCTTTGCCACCTTGGCTTCATTCCTTTAAACACCAGTTGCTACAGGACTACTTTGACGTTAAATGTGCATTTCGTTAAAACGGATTTGAAAACTTCATCTACGTTGACATAATTTTTTATTGTTTTTATAATAATGATAAAATCAATATTTGATTTTAAAAGAAAACTAGGTAGGGAAGTTGCAACTTGTAGACTAGATCAATGCAAAATATTAAGACCCAGTTGCATGATACCCAATGTTTGCTCTCTGCTGTTAGGTGAGAAATAGATGTGCCACCAATTATGTGGCACACATAATTTAAAAGCACTTCCCCCCCCCCCCCGGTAGTAAAGAAAAACAACAACAGCCCTTGGCATATAAGAATTATTTTTCTTATGATTGTGTTTCTTAGAGTTTGTGCATATTCTGCTGATTTGCCAAAATTATTTTTTTTTAATGTTTGTTTATTTTTGAGAGAGTGTGAGCGGGGGAGGGGCAGAGAGAGGCGGGGACAGAGGATCTGAAGCAGGCTCTGCACCGACGAGGGGCTCGAACTCAGGAGCCATGAGATCATGACCTGAGCTGAAGTTGGACGCTTAACCGACTAAGCCATCCAGGCATCCCCAAAATTACTTTCTTAAAATAGTCCAGTACACTGTAGGAAGTATTAAAATTACAGTCATTATTTCAGTACAACACCTTCCCCCTCACTCTCTGTCCCCCAAAAGGCATAAACGTCATCTACTGCCAAACAAAGGGTAAATCGTGGAAGCTACGCTGGAAAGGTGTGAAATGAGAAGGAAAAATGTTGCTTTTGCCCCTTCAGATCCATGGCTGAATTCCAGATCCTGGGAAGCTTTTCAGATCAGCATGTAATTTGCTTAAACAATTGCTACTCATCTGCCAGGGCAGCACCTGGAAGACTGCAGGTGGGAACAATTTGCGTGCCTCCAGACACAGACTAGAATGCAGCGTCCATATTTCTGTTGCAGTTAGGCGAGAGCTAAAAGAAATGCTCTTTTTGTGAATATACAGGGTACCGCCTGCAGTCAGTTATGAAAAGGAAAGCCTTTGGAGAGCCACAGTAGGTGAGCACAATGGGAATCCCCTGGCCCTTCCCCACCATCAGCAGATGCCCGGAATACCTGGGAATAAGCGGATTGCACTCTCCAGGGTCCAGGGGGTTGATGTCACAGTTCTCGTAATCAAAGGTGCCATTCCATAAATGCTTTGCCAGCTGGAAAGCTATTTTCCGTTGTGCTAACGTGACTTCTTTTCCATGCCACACATACACTTCACTACCGAAATCAAACACCAGTACCTGGGGAAACGGCACAGAAGATGTGGTTAATGTCAAAGCCATGCTCCAGATGAACCACGGTCTCTGCGGACACTGAGTTGAGCGGGTGAGGACACAAACCCTAATGGAGCCATCAGTGCAAACATAAAAAGATCCAGGGGTGGACCAGCTGGCTCTGCCCTGCTCCCCCTAGTCTCTACCCTGCAGGTGGGATTTCTATCTTGTCCTGAACTCTCCAACTCTGTAACACCCCTCATTCATAAAAACAGTTATTTGGCTATGACTTCCTATCTTCTTTTCTTCTTCCTTGTCTCCCTCCTTTGTTCATTCATTCACTTAGCATATATACAGGCCTTCTCACATGCCAGGCACTGAGGACCAGTGAGGTCTTCTCTCCTCTGTTCAGTTCCAACACCCTCAAAGGGAGAGACCGTATCATACTTCTGTTTACAGTAGAGATTTACGAAGTGTTTGCTGAATGAATACGTGAATGTAATGCTATTTCTTATTTCCATGCCTTTGGCTTATTCTTTCTTCCTAGAATAATTTCCTCCTTCATGTCCAGCCATCCAAATCCTACTCAACTCCCAACCAGGCTCAATTTCACCTTCTCTTTAAAATTATTCCTGATTATTTCTTCCCTGTGATTTTTGTTCTCATTTAAATGCCCATATATATCACACACTCCATCTAGGTGTGGATTACATCCTTTCTAGTACTCCTCTATTCAATGAAACTTAAGGTTCTTTTGTGTCTTCCACTTTTTTCTCAACATGTGCAATACAGAAGGGTAATGACAATGTATGTACTGAGTAAATATTTCCCAGCGTGAGAGAAAAAAATCTAGTACATCACTTGGCAAACCCAAATTATATATACATGCATCTGTTATTCCTGAAACTTCAAGACTGCAAAAATATAATGTTCATAGAAAAGCAAGAGATAGGGCTAAGGAGTATTTACATTTTATTCCCTGTTTATATTGAGATATAACTGACATACGGCACAGCATAAGTTTAAGGTATAAGGCATAATGACTGGACTTATATAAACTGTGAAATGATGACCACAATAAGTGAACATCCAGCACCTCATACAGATACAAAAGGAAAAAAATACAAAAAGAAAATATGGAAAAAAATTACATTTTGCCTAAAACAGAAAAGGCTTCAATGCTCCATGACCCCTCTGAACAATATTCTGAATTCTGTATTTGTATTTAACATGGCAGCAGTGGTTTGAATTCACAAGTAAATGTCCCTTAAAAATATGCCACTCTTCAGGGCGCCTGGGTAGCTCAGTCAGTTAAGCGCCTCTTATTTCGGCTCAGGTCATGATCCCAGGGTTCGTGAGTTCAAGCGTCGCATCGGACTCTGTGCTGACAGCGCGGATCCTGCTTGGGATTCTTCCTCCCTCTCTCTGCCCCTCCCTGACTTGTGTTCTGTCTCTCAAAATAAATAAATAAAAACTTAAAAATAAATAAGTAAATGTCACTGTTCAACAACAGGCACTAACACTGGCCAGCGCCTATCGGGCGCTTACGATCTATTTTATTGGGCAGCCCCGTGCAAAGGGTTTCTCAGTGAGGGTGATGCCCGGGCACTGTACCTCTTTTGACTGTAGAAGGGAGCACTTTGGAATTTTCCCCCAGTAGTCGTCATCAGGAACAAGTTTGTCATCCATCAGACGGTAAATGCAGTTTGTTTCAATTATGGCTGTCTCATAAAGTTCGTCTTCTTTTGGGTCTCCGGCGGCTTTGGGAGGAGAACGATAAGACAGTCTGACATTTTACCCTGAAAAGTGGCTGGTTTAGAAGAACGAAGTAGGGGGGAAGAAAAGTCTCGTGATTCTCTGAAATACAGTAAACTCTTACACTGGTAACTGGTTTGGCCACCCAGAAGCTTCCAGAAGTCTTTGGCTGCATGAGTGTGTGTATTAATTCCTTCTTCGATAGTCTGGATGTAAGTAGCTCTACAACCAAGTTCCCTCTTTGTCTGAATTAAACCCGCAAGTTCTGAGGCCTGGAAAAAAGGAGGAACACAGTTACCTGGGTAGGCAAGCCTGTGGCTAGGGTGGAGGGGAGAAATGGTGTGTCTGCAAGGAAAACCGGGTGACCACAGGGGCTGCAGGCTCTGGTTGTTGGCTATTTTCGGCAAGGTGGAGAAAACGTACGGGGGGTACAATTCTCTAGAGCAACAGCTCTTTGTTTTCAAATCTAAGAGACGGCTTGTGGAGTTTTTGATAAATGCCCATTCTCTGGGCTTCTCTCCAGGAGATGCTCATTCAGCAAGTCTGAGGTAGCATTTCATAGATACCTGGGACAAACGGCTTTGAAGTGATACGCCAGTTCCTTTCACACGGAATCGGACTTAAAATCTGGCAGGAGGGCCAGAATCCTTCAAAACATCCCACTCAAGCAAATACCTAATGATTACTTGTTTGAGAGACATTCGGCAAAAGAAATACTACCCATCCCTTCTCACTCGATTTCGCATCTGAGAAGCCCTTGTAATGATCTAGCAACTGTGGAACATTCTATCGGGTGTGCACAGGAGATGCTTAACGGAACAGTTTTTATTTTTCAGATACCAACCTTTGCCTTTTCTATGACATTTGCAAACTCTCCTACCCACAGGAAGCAGTGCTGGGGAGAGAGCAGGAGGAAGCAGTCCCCGCTGTTGAGCGATGAAGCTCGAGGTTCAACCAGTCGTGTCTGCACGTGTCTTCTTCCTGTAAGGCGGGAGGCAAAGAGTCACCATCTTCCCAGACAGGAGACCTCTCCAAGCCACAGGAAGGACCAGGAAGCACCTCCGCTACAGACTTTTGCAATTCTAAAGACTCTTGTCTACCAATACCAGTTCCGTGATGCGGGCTGGTGGAAGGGGGCTTCGAATGTTGGCCTTACAGGTTACTCTCCCTTGCCAGTGTTAGGACACCCGCTGGCGTCCTTTTACAGCAAGTGTGTGGATTAACCAAGTTCCCTCCTCCAGGAAAGTTAGCAAACATGTTCCTTTTCCCTCTGTAACTCCTCTCCCCGTCTCTTTCTCTTGGCATGGCCCACCTCCTACATTTCATACCCTCTGCCAGCCGTGCTGCAGGTGAGGACATGCCTTCACACAGCATCTTCCTCCTGGGGGCTTTCGTGCCACACCGAGGGCAGTCTTAGTGGGGATCAGCTAGGAGGGAAGCACTGCTTTGTGCTGCTTTCCACACCTTCTCCTGAGTGGCCGTTGATTTAGACCTTTCCACAGTCACACGGACAGTGCTGTCTCTGGGTCAGAACTTGGGAAAAGAGGGTTATTTGTGCTTGTGGCATGTCCTCCGAATGCACTGAAAAGGCCGGTGCAGAAACACACGGGACACCCTCAGTGAAGGGTATTTTGTCCATCCTCCCCTCGCTGATTACTCTAGCAGTAATTGTCTCTCCTCCTAGCCTGCAGCTTCTCTGGTTGTCTCCCTTGCCAGTGACAGAGGGGGTGTTGGAGTGGAATCCTGGTCGCCCTCACTTGCCTCTGCTGTCCCTGGATTCCTTCTCCAAGAACCTGTGTCTCTCCTTCTGGCCCACGCTGATGTTGCTTACCTCAGCCAGGAGAACTGAGTGGAGAGAGCCACCACGAAGGCTGAAGGGGCATCTGGAGCTGCGTGACAGTGCGGAGGCGGGGCTCACGGGGCTAGGGGAGGCAGCAGCAGAAGCTGAGCTTCTAGAATGGGAGAGACCTGGGGGCAAATCCAGCCCTGCTACTCGACAGCGGCTGTGACCCCAACCAGGTCACTAACCTCTCGAAGTCTCAGTGGACAGAGTATCTCGCACCTCAAGGAATTTTGAGGACCTCAAAGAGCACGCGTTCCCTTCTGCTTACGGTCAGGACTCCTGACGTCACCAGACTAAAACCCCTAGTCAACGTGCGATTCCTCTGTGCTGCTTTTATTCATTTATTTATTTTTTTTAAGTGATTTTTAAATTTTTTTTTTTACCTTTATTTTTGAGAGAGAGAGACAAAGTGTGAGCAGGGGAGGAGCAGAGAGAGAGGTAGACACGGAATCCGAAGCAGGCTCCAGGCTCCGGGCTGTCAGCACAGCGCCTGACGCGGGGCTCGAACTCACGAACTGTGAGATCGTGACCTGAGCGGAAGCCGGACGCTCACCTGACTGAGCCACCCAGGCACCCCTCCTCTGTGCTGCTCTTAAATACCTTTAATCTGTAACAGCATCAGCTTCTTGTAGGGCACCGCGCTGTTGTTGGAATTCTGTTCGGTCAGGTTGACGCTCCGCAGGCTGACGTTGCTGAAGTTTTCTTTACTGGCTAAACCTGCCAGGGTGACTTCTGAGAAGTTGGAGTTGGAGGACACTGGGAGGGTTGAATAAGGAAACAGTGTGGGGGTGGGGCGTGGGGGAGCAAGATGGGCAGGTGAAACGTCAATGTTTACAATCAGAGATTCAGAACCGACTACCTTTCTCTTTGAAACTTAATCCTGCGGGGGAGAACGTGCCCGGGTTTGGTTGCCTATGCAGTTGGGTGTTGAGGCACCGTACCAGGGTTTAACCCTGTATTGGAGTAGACACACGTCGCACCTCGCCTTGCAGAGAGACAAGAATTGAGAGACAACGTGGACCAACTGCTGTACTATAAAATCAGGAGCTGGACTCGTGTGTTGCACTTCCACTGAAAGCTGTTATAACTCCTGACAATCTTTAGATGTTAATGCAAATGCACCCCAAGGAAAACCACGAGACGTATTTTAACAAAAGTCTCTATACATAGGCACTCTGTAGGGATGGCTTAGTCCTAATCTTTCTCCTGGAGGCAAAATGATCAATTAGCTGATCTCCTGAGGTCTTCCACCCCAGGATTAAGACCGTAATAACAAGATGCTGGGTTTTCCATGGCACCAACAGATGTGTACGTGACATGTGTCTATCGTCACAAAGCTATCCCCAAGCCCCCGAGAGTGGAGGTAGAGGAAACGTACCTAAAGTTTGTGCCAGCAAGCCTTTATTTCTTTAACCGATTGTTTAAAAAAAAAAAAAAAAAAAGCGTATGTGCTAGAGAGAAATTCAGCAAATTGTTTTGCTGGGATTAGGCTCTTTCTCACGCTACTTGACAATTCGTATGGCATCGCGGTTTTGACATATGTTCTCTTAGTCAATCAGTTACAACGAAAAGACTCAACCCTTTTGTGTAAATACTGAGTCTCTAAGAAAAACTTTAGGAAGTAGGTTCATGAGTGCTGAAGGAAAATAACAATTATAGCGAGAATATTCAAACTGGCAAGACTGTGTATGCCATTAGCTCCACCAAGAAAACCACTGTTTCAGAACTATGGAAGCCCATGTTACCAGGCTGAGCAAAGCGGAGCGTGGAGCTCTCTCCTCCCTCCCATTCACTGCCTCCACCCCCAAGCCCCGGCGCTACCCAACTCACATCCCCAGGTCCGAGGCTCCTGACAGAAGCAATCTGGAAAGCATTGTTTTATGCGTTTAATAATATGAAAATCTAGGATCAGGAAAAGCAGCAGTTTGGGATGTTTTCTCACGAGAGATCAAATGATTTGCTCTTGAGCAAGATTAAGTGGGGGGTGACCATGTTTGGGCTCTGCAGAGCTGAAAATGGGTTCAATTACAAAGCCCAGAAACGTCCTTTTCCAATCTCTTGAAAGAAAAGTCAACCAAGCAGGATAATTTAAGTTAACCAAGGGAACAGATGCTCCACGCTGTTAGAATTTCTGGGAAAAGCCTTTAAATTCCAGGCAGGTGTGCACAGCACATGTGTGTGCAAACTTACTCATTTTTATGTGACGAGTGTCTTTTGAGCACATTATTGGCCTTAGCAAGGCAGAAAGAGAGGATTCAAATCACCTAATCACCAGTTCCGAAGCAGGGGTAGGGTGGTGGTTCCACATACTCACTCTTTTCTACTTTCATCCGCTTTGACTCCATGAAGGCAACGTTTAATCTCTGCTCCGTGTATTCCTGAAGGAGATCTTCTCTGGCTGCCAGCATTTTCAACGGATTTTTGGAAGCCTGAACCCGGCGCTTGGGCCTTACTGCGCGCTTGTGCTCGGCCACAGAGGAGGTCAACCTGGGGAGCAAAGTGGAGCTGTGACCTCGGTCTGCATATCATCCACACCTGGTTTATTTGGGGGTCTCTGACCCGAAGCGACGGTCTCTGCAATGTCACTTCCTGATTTTGTTGTAAGTCTTACAACTCCCCCTCCTGCCCGCCACTCCCCGACATGGAGACAGAATCTTGGAGATGGAGATTGATCCAAAATCCCAGAGGCTCTCCCCACACCACGCCCTGTGGTCTCTGCCTGGGGGCACGTCTGGTGCCTCATGGGGCAACTCATTCCATTACTCGATGGCTCTGGAGGGTGGGAAGTTCTTCCCCACCCTCTTCAAACCCACGGACTCTTCCTAATATTCCTGTTGGAATATTACACATATGTACTTCTGTCCCTGGCGAGCCCTTCAGGGATTTACAGCCAGCCCTTGCTTCTCGACTTGATTCTCTTTCCTCCATACTAAACTTTCTCTTGACACAACAGTTTTCCAGTTTCCTTATGAAACCCCCCCCCCCCTTAACTAGCCTCCTCTCAGCCCTTTGCGCCTTTCTGAAAAATAACCACAACTTTGAAGAGTATGTTGAAATAAAGTAAGCCCACGAAACCAACTGTAACCGCCATACACACACTCAGCTCTCTGGGGCAGAGCAGACACGGGGAGGTGGGTGGGCCAGTCACACGGTTTCCTAACAGATTCTGCTGCTGCTCTCGACTTCGAACTGCACGGTCTCTGTGCTATCGTATAATATATAATATCGTCTTCTGTGTGTGTGTGCATAAACGTAGATGTACATATGTTTATATATAATGACTTAAGCAGTGACATTTGGGATGGGAGAAGATGAGAAATGGTTACATAGCCATGTGTGCAAATACATAAAATATCATTTAAAGGTGGGAAATGGAAAATTCTTCATTTAAAAAAATGTTTAAGCTCATTTATTTTGAGAGACAGAGAGACAGAGAGAGAGAGAGAGAGAGAGAACGCAGATGTGTGCGTGAGTGGGGGAGGGACAAAGAGAGAGGGAGAGAGAATCCCACGCAGGCTCTGAGCTGCCAGCGCAGAGCCCGACATGGGGCTCGAACCCATGAACCGTGAGATCGTGACCTGATATGAAATTAAGAGTCGACCCAACTACTGAACTACCCATGTGCCCCTGTTCGTTTTTTTCTTAAGATAGAAAAAAACTGACAAAACGGAAATATGCAACAAATGCATCAGGAGCAGCTTAAGGAAAAATGTAGGATAACCACACAGACTTCTAGAAGAGACTGTCACTCTGACAATCTGTGGGGAAGAGACAGATGTGGTCGGTAGCTGTGGGCTTAGCCTGGCCAGCATATATGGTCCCTGGTTTCCGATAAGAGTACCTGGACTCTGGCTCTGGCTCTGAAGGGCATCCAGAGACCAGCTCTGGGGCACCTGGCATCTTCCCGTCCCTTAGCCACAATGACCGCTGTAGGGCTGGGCTCAGACCCTAGAAAATCAAGCCTGGAACCTGTGCTGGAAGGAACAACTGGGAAGAGAAGCAGCCTATGCTGGGGTGGCCACGGAGCCGAAAATTCCACAGCTGGGGTGGGCAACTCCCGCAACGCGGTGATAGCTTGGCTGGAGCAAAGCAGCCCCACGGAAAATGGAAAAGAGAGAGACTTCCTTCTGAGGAGCCTCTGGAACCCGAATTCACACCTGCACTTTTCAGCGAGTGAACCCGTAAATCCCTCCACACCTTTCTTTTGCCACAGTCAGTTTGACTTGGGCTTCTTTCCGGCACCTGCAGTGAAGGAATCCTAACACCACACCTGCTTTCCTGAGGTGCGTTAGCCATGATCCTGTGTGAAAAGAGACCCTTGGACATCAGAGAGAAGACTGTCGGGCCTATTAATTTCATAAATTATTGTAAGTTAAATAACACGCTTTACTGATGTTCTAGTTAGTTGTATGAGTTTGAGCCCATGTGATCCAAAATTTTTTCAGAGCGAGGAGTAAGTGAAAGGTATAGAAATCTTTGCTAAATTGAGGGGTGGGGGCAGTATCTAAAAATCGGCAAAACAAGAATCAGTTATGTAACAAATCCAGTGAGATTATTTTTAACGGGCCAGAGCAAACATGTGTGGCACACACTGTGTATGCCAGATCTCCTGCCTGGGCGCACATTCACTCTGGAGCGCCCGTGTTTTCCCTACCCCACGGTGCCACATGGCTGGCTCTGGAGAATAATAATTTGGCTGTAATGAGTTCTAGTCGTAGAAGGAGATACAGTGAGAGAAGACCCTCGTGGAAGTGCTGTGTGAAGGCCGAGGTAGGAATCCGATCTCTGTGGGTGAAAGATAGAAACTAAAATAACTCACTTAGGGGCGTAAGGGTCGAAAATGACATCGAAGTCCTCGTCCAGCTCCACGGGGCTTCTCGGTAGAGTGTAGTCCATGCTGCGGTAAAACCTGGCAAAAGTTTCGTCATCGTCCAACTTCATCACCTCTTTAACAGATTTGCCGGTGACTGTGAGTACAGTTTCCTGCATCCCACCAACTATGAACAAGTGCAGCAAATAAATGACGTCAGATTCGTGTAAAAACACTACTCCAACTACGCCTCCCGATAGCTTAAAAATGATTCCCCCCACCCACGTTCCAGGAGTGGAGAAACATGGTAGTGATGCCCAGGGCTCTGTGGATGCTTCCTGGGCCTTATTGGACTTGTTGTGAGAGGACTTCTCGTCTGAAAACAGCTGGCACCATGAGAGCGGTAGGAGGCAGGTACTTGTTCCTTTTGCTACTGGAGGCAGAGCCAGCCTCGGCCTAATTCTAGATCAGGAATCAGTAAAAACTTTTTCTGTAAAGGGTCACGTAGTAAATATTTCTGGCTCTGCATGGGAGGCTATATGATGTGTTGCATGCATCAGCTCTGCTGTGCAAAAGTGACTGCTGACAATACATGAACAAATGAGCATGCTTTCATTCCAATAAAACTTCAGGAACAAAAACAGGTGGAAAGCTGGATTAGTTTACTGACCCCTGGGCTAGATCACAGTCACAGATACATAGTAAGCTTTGAGTTGTTTGAATGTCTTGCCTTGCCAGTTTAGTTATTACCTTACACTTTTATGTTTCTGGTATAAAGTGCTTTTCTGTATTATTTCCAACCTATTAGGGAGTCACTGTCAATAGTAGTGACTCCTAGTGCTTAGTATTTGATCAGTTTCAAGTACTGGACATTTTTATTAAGAGATGAGGCTATTTCTGCATATTATGCTTTTACTTTGTATACTTCATGAACTTCTGTATTGAAATATTCAACATTTATGCAGAAATCACTTGCAATAAGATATGTCAGCTGCTACCTTATTAGAAACTGATATATACTATTTAAATTCCATCAGGCCTAAGATCATGTCGATTTTGTGTAATACCTGCTTTCAAGTATAAGAGCCACATTACCAAGTTCACAGTCCTGACTGGATGACATCCCAAAGATTGAGACTCAGAAGCCAACCTTATTGGGGGTCCCCAATCTAGTACATTATGAAGTGAATCAGACCTTGGTAACCCAATCATTCTTGACTTCCTTTTTAACATCATAAGAAAGATCATGCTTTCGCTATTAATTGATGAAGTCAAGTCGAAAGAAGACAATTTAGCTGAGAAGAAGAAGCAATCAGATTTGTGATTTGGAGATTTTGAGAGAGGAGCAGGGTTTTTTTTTTTGTTTTTTTTTTTTTAGGTTTCCTTAGCTGCTCATTGAAATCTGCACCACAGAGCGCTCTAAGCATGAAAACCGAAGCTTCCCTCCAGCTTCTGGTATGTACCTTTGTTATTCAGCCTTCTTAGAAAGGTTTCCAGTCTGTCCAACTTCAGGTCCGATTCCAACTGCATGTCTGGTCTGGCTTCGATATCTAGGCAAGTGGAAACCATCCATGAGAGGTGCAACTCACACTCTTCTGATCTGAGACCCACCGGTCCAACTGGGTACCTCAGTGACTTACCTTCCAAGGGTTTAGACACTGGCGTGGTGCCCCTCGTTTTATTGCAAATAGGAGATGCCACTGGAGTTATGGCAGTGGGTGATGCCAAACCTGTAGAACATCAAAGGGGCGATTTAGTATCTCTGGATCATTTCTGGAGATTCCCAGGACCCTGCTGGCTATTAGTCCCAATGTAGATTTTACACTTCTAGAACTTACACACATGCGCGAATGTGCACGCACGCGTGCATTCGGCAGGTGCCATGACTATGTAGGACCACTGCAAATGTGGATAGAATTTTATAGTTTCTAGGGACTAGAATAGGTGAGAAGCTACTACAATGAGGACATGTGAGAACATATGCCCATAATCTGTAAATGGAATAAGAGTGTACAAGAGGCATCAGAATATACTTGAACAAACGGAGTGGTGGGTTCTGAAGCCCCTTTGAGGCGGTGGAGGTGGTTCAAGAGGAAGTATATCTGCACCATGTCCCATAGAAGAAGTGGAGAAAGGGCCGTGTCACAGTAGCGGGCTCGTGGCCCCTCACACTGGAGTTTTCCCGCAGGCGGGGATGCGGTGGGGGCAGTGTGGCCTTTGCGGCATCCTTCGGAGTGTGATTTTATTGAGCAATAGCCCAAGGAGTGCTAACCTTTTAGAAGAAAGACACAGAAGAGGTTACACTTAAATTGATTTATGATTGTTGAAGGGTCACATCCATCTGGGGTGTGGCTGGGAACTAGCGATATGCTTTCACATCTATTTACCAAGAAGCAGAGTGGGGAATCTTTTAAGAGTGTAAAGGTGGGGCACCTGGGTGGCTCAGCCGGTTAAGCATCCAACTTCGGCTCAGGTCATGATCTCATGGTTTGTGAGTTCAAGCCCCACATTGGGCTCTGCACTGGCAGTATGGAGCCTGCTTAGGATTCTCTCTCTCTCTGCCCCTTCCCCACTCTAACTCTAGCTCAAAAAAAAAAAAAAAAAATATATATATATATATATAATATATATAAAATATATAACTAGCTCCAAGATAAACTATACATATATACACACACATATGTACATATGTGTGTGTGTGTGTGTGTGTGTGTGTGTGTGTGTGTGTGTATGGTGTAAAGGATGAAAGAAAGAGATTCCAGCACAGAGAAGGTATCTGGTTGGGACAAGAAACCTTAATAAAGGCAAAGATGAGCACTTTGTTCCTCGCCTAGGTAGAAGGGATTGATAAGGAAAGGAACCAGTGCATTTACCAAGAACAGAATGAAATGTTAATGTTCACAGTATTCACTTGTAATAAATATGAAATCATCAGATGACATTGCCCTTTTAGCACCCCTCAGAGAACCACATCTGGAGAATACGTAACTAGGTGCCTGTCGCTTACAAGGAAAAATGAATGAATGAATTGCTTTGCTCCTTCCTCCTGTTAGCTGGAGAGGGATGTGGAACAGCATAAATACTGCAATGTAGTTTAAAGTTTCAGTCTTAGGTGATATTCTGAAAGTATTTCTCGGCAGGTGCCTGTATTTGCTTGATGATGTCAATAAAAATTTAAAAATTTACTTCGATAACCCGACCTGCTGAAGGTTTCTATCAGCGAGGAAGCAAACGTTCTTGAGAGATAATAAAGTAAAAGTTGGTATCACAGGCAGTACAGGTGCAGCTCGCCATCACCTACTAACAGGATGCACAGGAGAGGGAAGAGTCCCTTAGCACAGAGATCACGAATGCTGAAGGGAGCAGAGGGGCCCCAACTCCTGGAAACCTGGCCCTCTGCACCGTCGGGGCGCCCCCTGCCATCCGTTCAGGCAGCCGCACAAGAGCTCCTAGCAGTGGGACATCTCTATCCCAACTAAAGACCAGGGTTTTTCCTTAGGAGGGAGGACATGTAAATTTAGATGACACCAACAAGTCAGCCAGAGAAAAGACAGATATCATGTTTTCACTAGGATGTGGAATGTGAGAAACTTAACAGGAGACCACAGGGGAAAGGGAAGGGGAAAATATAGTTTAAAACAGAGAGGGAGGCAAACCATAAGAGACTCTTCAACACAGAGCACAAGCTGAGGGTTGATGCACACCCGAACCTACGCGCACACGCGGAGCATGTCCACCCCTCCCCCCGCTCTGACCTTTCTTCACCATCCTGCCGGCCACCGTGAACTGGGTGGAGTCGTTGGCTGCTCCCTTGCCTTTGGTCTTCCAGGCTTCTTCTCTCACAGTGATGAGGTGCTTCCTCTCTTCGATAGTCATCTGGCTCTCCCGACTTTCTGTGACCCGCTGTTTGTAAAGTGTACCGGGGAGGAAAGGGGAGAGGAAAATGACAGAGACGTGAATTTTAGCAGGTGGCATCGCGTGAGCCGAAAGTCAGGCAAACAAACAGGAGGGCTACACTCTCCACAGACGTCTGTCACTGTTCTATTGGAAACAGGTTTGGCTTCCCTACTTCCAGCTTGGGTCAGAGATCGCCATCAAGAACAATGAAAATTTAGGTTAAAACTGTGATTTTTCTTTTTTCTTTTTTTTTTTTTTTCCACTCATTTGTTTGGAATACTGGAACACCAAAATGATACTTGGGAAAAATCAACAAAAATAGACTGTCTTCATGCCACGAACTTCACAGGGTTTTAAAGTTGCTCTGTTCTGGGCCGCATAGGTGGCTCAGTCAGTTTGGTTAAGCGTCCGACTTGGGCTCAGGTCATTATCTCATGCGAGTTCGAGCCCCGCACCGGGCTCTGTGACCAGTCAGAGCCTGGAGCCTGCTTCGGATTCTGTGTCTCCCTGTCTCTCTGCCCCTCCCCCACTCACACTCTGTCTCTCTCTCTCTCTCTCTCTCTCTCTCTCTCTCAAAAATAAACATTAAAACAATTATAAAGTTCGTATGTTTTACCTAGCTAAACTTGGCTGATTAGGAAATTTTATCCCTATATAGTTACAAAACACATGGTCAATCCAGAAGAACACGGTCAATTATGAAGGAGAGAAAGCTGATTAGGAATAAAGTACGCTACAAGAGGGTTTTCTGGAACACAGCATGCTTTTTCTGAGACAACTATGTTACATGGGCAGCTAGGCAGTTCAGCCCATGAAAGGGACTTTTAGGCCCTCGTATATCTGACATTGAGGATACATTGTACTCTAGACATAATCTACATATAGAAAAACACTTCCACCTAAAAAATATTTTCAAAAGCTTCTAACTGAAAGATACCTGCCTCTTTAGTTTCTAAGCCACTGGACTCATTTGGTCTGGGGGAAAGAGGCTTAGGGGGACCGAGGGAGGCCAGGAGAGGGGTCTCCAGAGAGGGGTGGGCTGAGAGGAAGGGAAGAAGCAGAAGGCTGGGCTCAGGACACTCGGGGCCAGTGCAGGGGAAGGGGTCGGCCAGGCACAGAGGGTGTGGATGATGGTGGTGGGGGACACTGGGGCGGGAGGCCTTCGGTGGTGGTAGGACAGAGTTTGCCTTCCCTTCTCCTCCTCCGTGATGCTCTCCTCTCACTACCAAACCCCTCTCCGACAGCGACTTGGAATCGGGGCCCTTGCGCAAATCATGAGTGGGAAAGTTCAAGAGGGGTGTCTTTAAATTTTTTTGACAATTTGTTTTGATAAAATTGGAAATGTATCCAGTGGCAGGGGGCACGGGCCGGGGAGAGAAGCAGGGGCAGGGGCAGGTGCTGTGGGAGCGAGTGTTGAGGAGGGCAGAGAGGAAAAGCCTCCTCCTAAGCAGAAAGGAGCTTCCCTCGCTGGCTGTCCGCCCCAGGATGGCTCCCACGGCAGGGGTTCTAACACTGGCGTGGCCTCCTGGCTTTGTGCATTTGCTTTCACCTCAGCCTTTTCTCAGACCCGAGGTGTGCCCTATCCTGCCGGGGCCTTTGCTTGTAAGCTACAGATAAGCTTGCCTTAGCCTCTGCTGGCAGTCTCCCCAGCAACTCTTCCCTTGTGGGAAAACCGGGAGACCCCCGAGGGGCAGTATGTCAGATTCCGTCCCTCCACACAGCCCGTCCCACTGTGGCCAATTAGCTTCCGTTAGCTGACCAGCAGAAAATAACTTCCAGATTCATTCGGCAAGAAAGCAGAGATGGGCACAGTTCATCCTCCTAAAACACTGGAATGATGGAGGTTGATGCAGGACACGGTTCCTTCCCTCCTGTCCAGAAAAGATGTACATAAAACCACATCTGCCCTGACAACATATGGTTTCAGCCATGAACATGGACTTGTCCAACATCTAGTTTGTGAATCTTTTACAGACGTCTTCTACAGAGCAATCACTGCCAGAAGGGATTTTGAGATCCTTGGTAATTTAGGTTAAAAAAAACCCACACCCTTTTCCTGAAGAGATAGGACAACTAAAAGCAATGCCTGATCCTGGCTTGGATCCTAGGCGGGGTGGGGTGGGGGCTAAAAGGGACACGGTTGGGGTGGAAGGGTGGGGGGGGGAATGGACACAGTTGGAAATGGGCTGTGGATTAAACATTGCATCAGTGTTGAATGTCCTCATCTGGATCACATTACTGTGGTTACGGAAGTAAGCCAGACTGAGTATATGCCCCCAAATCTCATACATTGAAACCTAAGCCCCCGTGTGACGTATTAGGAGGTGAGGCCTTTGGGAGGAGTTAGGTCATGAAGGTGGAGCCCTCCTGAAGAGGAGTAATGCCCTCATAAAGGACACCCCACAGAGCCCCCCGCCCCTTCCACCATGTGAGGAGCAGATGGTCGTCCAAGAACCAGCAAGAGGGCTCTCAGTAGACACTGAATCTACGGACACCTTGATCTTGAACTTTCAGCTTCCAGAACTGTGAGAAATCAATTTCTGTTTATAAGCGACTCAGTATATAGTGTTAGGGTACCCCAAACTATCTATCTATCTATCTATCTATCTATCTATCTATCTATCTATCTATATCATGTATATGTATAGGAGACAGAAGGGGACAGGAGGAAGTCAGCAGTGGGGGCTGGGGTTGAGGGAGGAAAGGAAACATGAGTGGGGGCAGCCAGAAAGTGCCAACAGTTGGTGGCTTTGGTAAGGAGTAGATGACAGTGCCCTATCACAGTAACTTTTTTTTTTTATCAGTTTTAAATTTTATCCAAATAAAATATTATCCAAAAGTTAAAAAGCCTTTTCCTTCACTTTCCCACTCATGGCTGGGGGGATGACCCTCATTCCAAGGAAGTCTCTCAATCACATACCCTTATTAAATAAACTATGCCAGGAAGACCTCGTCAAAATTCAAAAAAGATAATACGTTTTCTTTGAAAATGAAGTTTCAGGAATGAATTTTAATCAAATCAATATAGCATTTGGCTTAAAGCGTTTTAAAAAAGCATATGAAGCACCAAGAAAGTTTGCTTCTCCAAAGACCCAGATATCACCAGTTCTGGTGAACTTGGTGACACATCTCCAAAGTCCTGGGTGTGGTTCATGACTCAAAAAAATGGCATCCCCGAATCAACAACTCCGTCTCCCAAAGCGCTCAGATTCCCCTGGAGCTTCTGGAAGAACGTGGTGGATATGAGCCCTGGAATGATACAGCTGTTGTAGGACTTAAAGCTTCCAGCAGTTTGCCGTATCTTTATTATGGAGTATTTTTTTTCACTCCCTTCTCAATATTAAGATTAAATGTAAAAGCTTTTGCCTCTCTAAAAGTTTTATTTTAACTTTGCCAGTTATTGAAATTGGTTTAGGGTCCCTACTTGCTTTATCTGACTTCAGATGGCTCTAATGGGGTATACAGCTTATTGATTCACTGAAAAAATACAGTTTCTCAAAAGTTGCTATTAAACTTTGAACTCAAAATGTGAAAACAAGATACACATCTTTGTCCATTTACTTTTTTAGCTTTAAATTTCATTATTGTCTTGTCTTGGTTTTCCCTTGTAAGGTTTTTTTTCCTTGTTTAGAGAAGGGCATAGTATTGTATCCTAATAAGTATTGTGCCATTTTCCAGGCTTGTGTAGATTGACTGGAATAGTGAGAGAATTGGGGAAGAAAAGGAATAGAAGCCCACCTGCCTTGTCCTTCACTCTTTCAAATGCAGATCCCATGAAGGTGGTGCCCAGAGATGGAGACAGGGAGGGGAAGGAACAGTGTGTGTGTGTGTGTGTGTGTGTGTGTGTGTGTGTGTGTGTGTGTGT